GTATTATTATTAATATAATAAGTTAAAATCGGCGAAACGAAAGTTGCGTAGGTACTTGTGTATAATAATGAGTTAGACAATACCTAATTTAATTTCCGATATCTGCTAATCGTGTCGTGTATTATTGCAAACATCCATCGACCATCTACAAACAGGTAATTAATAATTTTGAAAATATTATGTGTTTCGACGTGAAAATAAAAGCGTTATACCTAGGTATCTAAATGTACGGACGGTCCGAAAGTACCTACTTAGTTATTTGTGTTTTTCCACTCGTTTGCGACATCGCTGCCAAACGTAAACAGTGGGTAAAGTATACGCACCTAAATATTATACCATAATTATAGGTATTACGTTGTGAAAATTCCCCGTTGCGGAACTATATAAGTGAAAATATCGGAAAAATCGTATCCGAGATTAACGAAGCAAACGTCATATTCTGATGATTTAATAACAATAATAAATTGGCCATCCAGATAATATCATTATTAAATACAATATAAGTATATATTAATATCCAACTCACCGCTGCAGACGATTATAATATCCTCTTATCGGTGAATTTGGAACATCTACTAATAAAAAATAAACATTTTTACACATTATTAATTTACAATAATAATATCATGTTATATTCCGGGATACAGTCAAAAACGTTAAGTTATAATATTATATTTATGCAATACGGTAGTCATAATATACGATTATATCATGTACATAATACACAGAGCATAATATTGTATTAATTAGTATAATACCTAATGTATTATGACAGTTTAATAGCGACCATAAACAAGCCACAAGAAACCTACTGTGACCGTATGATAATAATATGGTAAACTAATAAACAATAACCGACTGTGATTCGACCACATCTATGGACTATACTATACACGTGTTTACATAATGTATATGCCCCGTATAATTCTATACAATTATTATACCCCGTTATAGGTAATCTAAAAGCGATTCACATACGAAAGTATTATTATAATATTTATATTTTATAATAATAAAATAGTATTTCGTATTTATGTATTTTAAAAAAATAAGACCATCTCCATCGGCATAATTTTACCAGATTCCTTCCCATGCTTATTCCTGTATGAATATAATTGTGGCACTTCAAACCGTATAACCTGCAGCAGATATTATTTAATGTCATAAATTAATGACAGTTGAAAATAATATGATTGGTGATCGCTATTTTTGTACATTGTCTTCTGCGTGTGCGGTCGGGACGGCACTGCCACCACGAGGTGAAAAAGAGCAAGAGCGAAAGAGCGATACAACAGTCTTGGCGAGGGAAGTGGTGGGTGGATAAGGGTGCTGTGGGTGCAGTGAGGGTAGAAAAAAAGCACCGTCGCTAAGGTGAGGAAAAAAGGGATTCGATCAATTGACTCAAGGACGTTTGTGGCTGGTGTGACCCCCTTTTCCAGCCAGGCATTCATTTTAGACCAGACGACCCCGAGGCGTCTGTCAGGCGTGGGGGGCGGAGCGTTGCGATCGTCGCGCGAGGATGCATTACACGAAGTGGTCAATCGTCTAATTTCGTCGAATGAAATGTGCATAATTTATAATATTATCATATAATATTCACCGTTCGGATGATAATAATAATAATAATGGTAAATACCGTAGACCGTAGTTGTGGTATCTCCATAGTTTAAACCATCGTTGTCGTGGTTGACGCCACTGTCTTCGCCGTCCGGTTCTATTTCCGGACTTTTATCGTACCATTATCGGTTAAATTTTGACACTTAATAATATATAATATAGAAAAAATACTTCGGCTGCACTTCGTCGCCATTAATTTTCACCGGCCAAACACAACTAAAATAAACAATTTCTCAACTGTAATATTAAAATATAGTAAAATAAGAAGACTCTAATCGCTAATGATGAGTAGAAACTTGAAACCCCGAATAATAATTATATATATTTTTAAGTAAATATTGGTTATAATATGCTATATACTTATGGTACATACGTAAAATATGGTATATTCGACTCTCGCACAGCGGCGAGACTAAAACTAATAAGTTTGTGGAAAACTCGACCGTTGTTGTTCAGTATTTGCTGAAATACATATTGTATACATAGAGGGATTCACCAAGCATGATCACCTCCAGTTTTTAATTTAATAATGAATTTATTCAATTTATGATTTTTGGAATTCTTGAATATACTTTTAATTTATAATAATTTCAAATTCTTCAGATTATTTTGGTCCACTTCTTGAAGTGCCGTGTGAGACGATACACACTTTTTTTTCAAATTAGAGCCCCGTTTTTTTACTGCAAGTTATTCAGTGAGTATTTTTTTTTTGAAAATTGAATTTATCAGGTATAATGTTTACACTAATGATATAATTGATAATGTATAGTCCTTAAAACTAGTTCTATAAAATTATAATCTAATGTTAATTATATACAACATTAAGTAAATAGCCCAAAAATGACTAAAGTTTGCATTTTTATTTCAACCCTTCAACATTTTCAGAAAAATCATCCACTAATTTCCAGTAGAAAGGAAAAGTTATCATTTGGAAAATAATAAATATCGAAGTTAGTATCTCCATAGCACACTCTTATGTTGTACAAAAAATTTTCAAGAATTTTAAAATAACATGGTGTTTAATAATATGAATATATAAAAATTTTAAAACTTAGATTTTGAGTAAATTCATTATTAAAGGGGAAAAGGGATGGAGCATGCTTGGTGAAATTGTGAATCACATTGTATATATTATATACATATTATCCCGTATGGCTGTACATTTATAATCGTATGAATATCGATGATTCGTCATTCATATAATATAAATAAAGGGACTATATAGAGGGACTTCACATGGGCGATGACGAAGCAATGGATTGGCTGTCTAAGACCAATGTTCGCCTTTAAATATATTATGAGCTCTTATTATTATTATCTTTGTTATTGTTAAAATTATTTATTAGTTTATTGTAAATCTACCTACTCTAGTCCTCGTTACTTTGATAATTTAATGTTTATTTAGTTTTATTTTATGTTTATTTAATTTTGTTTTTCACCAATAAACCTACGCCATATGCAAGAAAAAAAAATAAAGCGGTTGTGCCATCGAACATTAAAACTGCATTGCTTGTTATTGTTGATGTAAAGTTGATGTCACAAATGGTACTCATATAATAATAATAATAATAATAACACGCTTTGTTTGTAAAAAAATTTACTAAAAATATTATGACTAATCATATTGTTATCTGAACGCACGACAGCGGTGTACATAAAATGCCTATCCAGAACGCCGTGTTACAATAATATTTTATAACAATTGTTTAAACATTAATCTACATAGGTAATAATATTAAAATTACTTTTGACGTTAGATAATTAGACACTCATTTTAAATGAGACTGATTAATAAACGTATATTATTCATATGTTTTTCGGAACTCATAACAGGATACATGAAATGTGAATCCTGTCGAGCTGATTTAACCTATTTCAGTCACCAAAAGCTATAGGTGGGTGGTAGTCAGTATTATTTATCGTTGACCTGGCACCCATTAGGCATTAAGAGAATCCTATCCATGCATTTTTTGTCTCCATATTAGTTATTACACAAGTATGACATAGCAAATTTTCGTTCATTAGTTTCAATAGTGTGCAGTTAGTTTTGATATTAGAGTGAATTGACCTCTTATAAATTTTTTAGATAACAACATTATCTGTGCGTTGGCTTTTATTCTATATTATAATTTTCAAGCGTGATATGAGCATTTTAATTTTTTGATTTTTCACATACCCATATCTTGCTTGAAAATGAAATTTTGCTCAAGCACAGACAAATAGACAATGTTCTTACCTTAAAGTTGTATAATAGGTCAATTCACTCTAGTACCAAAACTAACAGCACACTATTAAAACTAGTGAACGACAATTTGCTGTCATGCGTGTGTAAGACGGAGACAACAAATGTATGGGTAGGGTCCTCTTAACTATTATTTCAGTAGTTCTAATATTCTTACTTTAAAAATAGCAGCCCAAATCATATTTTAATAATTGTTTCTTTGATATTATCATAGTAAACCGCTGAGATTCAATATCTATACAGTATACAGAATAAGACCACGGTCAAAAGCGGTTTTGCCACGCAAATCTGGTGTGCTCTTATTCTGAATAGACTATAGAGTTATCTATCTCCAGTATATAGAAAATATAAGTTAGAAGTTTAGTGCGAGAACACAATACAACTTAGATATTGGTACGACAGTACACATTGTTAGTATACGACACTAGGCCCGGATAGAGCCGGCAGGCTACCGGGCAAAACACGGTGGCCGTTAAAAATTCGAAAGATTTGGGCTGGCTCGAAGAAATTTTGAATCAGAGATTTGGGTCAGTCTAGACGGACAGCCCGGTAAGTAATTTCTTCCCAATCCGGCGCTGTACTACACTAATTTTATTTTTGATAATGATAAATAAATGGTTATTTTTGAGTGATTTAAAGAAAATTTTAAATTTAAAAGGGTCTGAGAAGGTATGGTGTGGTGGTTTAGGGATGGATTATTAATAAATACCATGTGAGAAAAAATTGACTTAGGTACCACAGAGTAGATTTTATAATACAATATATTATAATATGTACATAATATAATATATATATAAATATTAATTAATAATTCATTTTCACAATAGTATTAAATATCTTTGAAGATAAAAGAACACAAATATCTGTGATATAAAAGTAAAATAATGTATTAATAAACACGTATAGATATAACACGTGAATTCAAATTTTAGTGTCATATTTAAAAAAATAACATAGAACAATCTGAACTTCAACAAATCATAATTTTTTTATTTTTGTACCTGATGGTTTGAATAAATTCCTTAGTCACCTCATATTTAGGTATGCTGTACACCCTATAGCTTCCATGCACTTGATAAAGGTTAGTAAATAATACTATGTATCAGTCAAATAGGGCAAAAAATTATATCAATTAATTTATTCAAAACCTTTGTGAATAATTTGGACCAGGTCCATTGGGATTGACCTGAGAATACATCATTTGTTGGTGTTGAGGCACATGATGGAAGTCTTGTTGGTGCTGTTGTTGTGGTTGTTGTTGGTGTTGTGGTTGTTGTTGGTGCTGCTGTTGTGGTTGTTGGTGCTGTTGTTGTGGTTGCTGTTGCTGTTGTTGTGGGTGTTGTGGTTGTTGCTGCTGTTGTTGTGGTTGTTGTTGCTGCTGCTGTGGATGTTGAGATTGTTGTTGCTGCACTTGTTGTTGCTGCTGTTGCTGCTGCTGTTGTACTTGTTGTTGTTGTAGTTGTTGCTGCTGCTGCTGTTGTTGCTGTTGCTGTTGCTGTTGTTGTTGCTGTTGCTGCTGTTGTTGAACGGTAGGTGGCATCACCGTCCCTGGGTTGACACTCGGATGTTGACCAAGTCCATTCATGCGCATACGTTTTTGATTAGCAGCATGTTGTTGCTGATGACTATGGTGACTGCCCGACTGATCAGAATGTGCACCCTTATTATTACAATTTAATAATACAGTATAATGATATAATAAATATAATCATTGATACTTAATAAACTTCACTAAATGATTTTAAAAAAACAGCCCCCTGGGTACTTTTTATACGATTGAGTATTTTTAATCACCAATAAGAAACTTAAATATGTCAGGATCCCAACAATTTCAAATTATTTTAAATATTAAAAATAATTTCTAGTAAATTGCTAATATTAAATATAGAAGTTATGATAAACAACTTGAATTGTAATACCGCTAAACCTCTTCTATCTGATTGATTAGATAGTAAAAATGTTTTTATTAAATATGAATTACATTTTAGTACCAAGTTTTAAATTTGAGAATTATTTGATTAATTTTATTCAATCTGATTTTAGTAATAATTAATTCATACCCATTCAAATGTCTAATTTATTAATATCTATAATACAGATATTAAATACTTTAACTAAAGAACACTAGATAGTAGATACCATATGTTTTTTAAATGCAGTTACAATAAAACTATGTAAAATAACCAATGATACTACAGAAGAAATAATCAAGAATAAAATATAATATTATGAACATTTAATAGCATAATATTATACTAGTTATAGTTTAAATGTTTAAAAATAAAATGTATCTACTTAATTCTTATATTTTTTATAAAAATCAAAAATATGATCTATTATAACAAGATAAATATTTGAAGAATTAATAAATAATTATACCAATACTGCATACCAATAAATATAAAATAATCAATATACTACACACAATGTGACCAAAAATAACTGTATAAGCATATATCTATTATAAGAAATTGTAAATCTAGTAAATACAGTACCTAATTGCACGTAACAATTTTGTAACCCAATATTATTAAAAACTTAATTCTGAATGTGTATTACCTCTAGCGTAGTGTGACTTAAGCCATGCCAATTGTGCAAACTATTAACATAAGCGTTGTTGGTTAAGCTATTACGATGGTCCTGGGTAATACTGTCAATTCTAGGCGTGATACTATTGTTCTTATTATAAATGCGAGTGTTAGAACTATCGATTAAGTAACGTCCACGGTCATATGCAAAAATCTAGCAAAATAATTTAAGTTATAAAATTATTGGAGAGCATGCAGTTAATATATATTAATATGATGATTTATAAATATTTATTTGTTAAAAGAAGTATGGTTTGTAAAGCAATAGAAAAATCAAAGAACAAATGTATACAAGTAAAAAACCATGAAATTGAAAAAATTATAATCATACATAATAATGTGTATACAATGGTTGAGGTATCTCTTGGTTCAAGTATCTCTTTCAAATTTCATTTTAATTATTTTTATAAAAAATTGTTGTACTTTGATAGTTTTGGTGGTGATCTATCAGAGTAAAATTACTAAGGCACCTCTATAAAATTATTAGATACTTTTTTTAAAACTATTTCATGGTCTTTTAAATTAATTGGGAATCACACTTATAAAATTATTTTTTGCTCTCACACAAGTAACATAGAAAACTAACACATATTAAACAAAAAAATGTTATGAAGAAGGAGCATCAGTAGTCTTCTATATTCTAAATCAGCAGTCCCCATCAGGAATTTGGAAAGGCCCAAATATTATTTTTTTAAATTACCCGAAATAAAATTTAAAATAAAGGCATAATTCTTTTACCTGTGACCCAGGAGTAAAGATTCATAGTTTCTACTTACATTTTGAATGATGATAATTATAAGTTATAAAAGTTAAAAATATTATTTTAATATAAGTATTTTATTTTATTTACTAGGGAGAAGAATGTTGGATTTTAGAATGTAAAATTCAGTTTTAGCGCGTGCCGCATGGTGGGGACCTCTGGTCTAGATGTAGAAAGTAACTGCTCTCTGTACTTCACATTTTGTAAATACATTCAAAATATTATTTTGCGGTATGTTAGCATAATTACAGGGGGGATTTGAATCCCCATGACCTTTATTTTTATTTTTAAAATGGCAAACACATTTATGTAGGTACTTATTCAACTATAAATATTATTATTTAAAGGTACTATAATAGTAAATTTTATAAAAAAAAACACAAAAAACCCAAATCTCCTATGTTAGGAGATTTACTGCTCCTATACTAGTATCTTTATTCGTGCTTTGTAATAAACACTAATCTGTAATCACTATTGCAGCATTGCACCAAATATATTTATTAAATTACATTATATTATAATGTTTTGTGATACAAAAGTATTGATTTTCTTGCATTTTCATTTGAAAATTTGGTATCTTTTTAATTACTTAAATAGTTGATTCAACCATTCTATAGGATTTGAATGTTTATTTTCTAAAAATGAGCTTACTGAAAAAGAAGACTGAAAAGAATTCACTGAAATAATTAAATTTTAATTTTCCATAATGTCTAATTATTTTTTGGTTGAATTACAACTGTGGCCAAGTAAGATATAACAATCTGAAAAATGAGAAAAACTAGACTCAAGGCACTAGTCAAATCGGCAGTTAATTTCTAAGGGAGTCCTATCATTTGGGAAATATTTATTGATGTCCAGTAACCCATTTTTGTTAAGCAAGTTGTTCTGGATAAAAATTGGGGGCTTATATTTGAAAAAAAAAAGAAGTTTATATTGTAACAGGTTCATGTTCACTTTAGTAGTAAAAAAAAACTTAAGTACCCGAAAATATGGTCTTCAAGTCTAAATACTAACTAAACATTTCGAAAAACATAATTTTAATATTATGCATAATCTAAGCAAAAAAATAGGTTGAACATTCTTAAAAATCAGCCTGAATAACATTTTTTTATTTTTTGGATGTAGAGGATAATAGGTAATATGTACAAGTATTCCCCCTCTTGCCACAAACATGATCAAATCAAGCTACTATTGTAGTATACCTACTATATAAATCCGTTTTAGACAGAGCTATTTCTTACTAATAATTTTTTTTTTACATTAACTTAAATTTTCCTACTAAAAGTAGGAAATAATAACTAATATACTAAAATAAATTAAAAATCTATATGGAGTCTGCTAACAAACCACATATCACACTGCACTAACATTGTTTTTATTATAAAAGTGTAAATATAATGTTTTGTTGTAATAAAAATTAGTGAAGTACAGAGAGCAATACTACATGCGTGTAAGATAGTGCCAAGCCATTTCACTGTTACATTCCGTAACTCTCAAGATTATGTGACACTCGTATTTGTTGTTACCATTTTACATAATATGCATCACATAATCAAACTATATATGACATAATCGATACCTACAGTATTGATATTTTTAATGTTGGAGATGAAAAGACCCATGTTCTTTTCTTGCAATTTTTAAAAATATTTTTAGTTAATACCTTAATAGTCGATAATGAAGTAATCTGTATTTATTATAGTAAGTCACTATAATCTAATTAATGATATTACTTTGAACTCATATTAACGATGCTATACTTATATATTATGCAATGTGTTTCATTGTGAAGAAGAGACTGGCCGGCATCATATGGTAGTATTAAGTATATAAGTTAAGAAAGAACCCCTTTAACATGTTCAATGCCACGGTTGACAGGTAGTCAACATCAAAAACATTTCCAATGTGGCTGGTGTCCACTACTCGTCTACAAATATTTGTTCACTTTTATGATTCATAATTTTTAATGGCGATGAGACAATATTATGAAATACACTGTAGGCGATCAGGTACTATCCTAGGAAACTAAAGATATAATTGGTTTTTATTTTTGTTTATTTTTAGTGATGGTATTTACTTTTTCCCTTAAATAGTCAACCAGATATATCTTACCAGACATTTGCTGACATTTCTTCAAAACTTTTCAATTTTTTACTATAATTTATTTTTTATTTTAAAGCTATTTTATTATGGTATCGACTAACATACACAATCAAACCAGAAATGTACAAATTATTTTTATTAAATTAAAAAAAGTGGATTTCTGTAGAATAATAAAATAAAAATAAAAACTAATTCGGCATTATTTGGAGTACGCAATTTCCTTTTAAAATTACTTTTTACTTTTTTAATTTAATAAAAATGATTTGTACATTTCTGGTTTGATTGTGTATGTTAGTTGATACCATATTAAAATAGCTTTAAAATAAAAAATAAATTATAGTAAAAATTTGAAAAGTTTTGAAGATATGTCAGCAAATGTCTGGTAAGATTATCTGGTAGACTATTTAAGGGAAAAAGTAAATACCAACACTATAAATAAACAAACATTAAAACCAATTATATCGTTAGCTCCCTGGGACAGTACATGATCGCCTACAATGTATTTCACAATATTGTCTCATCGCCATTAAAAATTATTTTATTAATTTTAAAAGGAAATTGCATATTCCAAATAATGCTGCATTTATTAGTTTTTATTTTTATTTTGTTATTCTACAGAAATCTACTTTTTTTCATTTAATAAAAATAATTTGTACATTTCTGGTTTGATTGTGTATTTTAGTTAATATCACAGTAAGATAGCATAAAAAAATACAAAATTACAGTAAAAAATTGAAAAACTTTGAAGATACATTAGCAAATGTACGTTGGTTCGGTTTGTTTAAAAAAAGTTGCATTGCCCACAAATAAATTAGTAAGAACCACTCTTTAAAAATGTTTTTTCATAACTAACGGTATACTATCATATGACACCAGCCGCTAACTTCTTTACAGGTAACATTGAATAATATGTAAGTCGAGGACAACAAATATATGTAGAAAATTCTCTTAAGAATTATAAGTTATAACAGCAAAGTACAGTTTCTACATTTTTAGAATGTAATTAAAACATTTATATATTTTCCAGTTTAATTACTTAACATTACATCAAAACACCCAAGTATTAATCATTTAATTCTACTTAGCTTTTACAGTGTGAATTATTGTTATTTTAAATATGTCATATGTGAGAGGTAAATTAATTAAATATTTGTGTGGCTTTTAACTAATATATTAATATACTTTAATTTCCAAATATTACAAATTGGATTATTTTTGGAACGGAATATTAAGATTATTAAAATACTTCTTAAATACTTATTGTAACTATGGTTTGTTACAAAAACATCAAACAAAAATGTACTATTATTCATAAAAAAAATAATAAAACATACATTTGTAGCTTGCTGTCGTTTGTCCTTATCATCTTGATCATCATCAGTTAAAAACTCTCGTTTAGGATATGGTATTGGGCATCCAGCAAAAACACTAAGAAAAACAACATAAGTAGAATACATTTTTAGTTAATTTTCATAAAAATAAATAATTAAATACTCTGAGGTGGGTGTGGGATCTTCTTGAAAATATGAATCTTGTTTAGCCTGTTCTGAAGTAATTCTTTTGTTTGGATCCATCAGTAATAATTTTTGTAACTAAAACAAATTCAATATGGAAACATTATTTTATTTGGTAATGATTATGAACTAAGATATAATGGACTGGATAAGTCATGGTGGGCGGGTGACAGCCCAAAAAAGGTTCCTCTGTTAACATCAACACTGTGCATTGAATGTTTTGTTATATTGTTTTTTTTTTTGGTCACATTTTGTATCTTAGTCCGTGTTTTACACAGATGGCGTTGTAAACTCTCAATAACCATTGCAACCCCCCCCCCCCCCGTATTTGCCTCTAGTATATACTTTTGAGGACACAGATAAGCTGCTCGTTTTATTATGGTTGCGTAGTAATGAAGAAGTTTATAATGTATCATATTTTTTACTTACCAAATGAAATGCTTTACTATCTGGTTTTATTTTATGCCGGTCCATATATTTCACCAGGGAACAATTTGAATAGCTAAAATAGTTTAAAATTACAAGTTAATTAATATGACTTATACTTGTTAAATTTAAACATAAAAATATTTTTTTTTAAATTATTAATAACTTATATAGTTACTTCGATCGTTTGAAATCTTTCATTAAAGTTTGATGTTCTGGCATCTTCTTTATGTCTTCCCAGTCTTTCTCTTGAGGAAAGCCCATCACATTAAAAATTCTAAAACACAGCATAGGTATACACGTTAATATGGTATAATAATTTTAGTATCGAATATACTGCTAATGTAAAAATGGCATAGAACTTTATGATAAATATTTTGGGTAATAATTAAAACACTTAAAAACTTGCCAAAATGATAAATTTTATTATTTTAATCAAATAGTGTTATGTGTTCAGTGTTGAAAAACATTATAGATTAATTTAATTTTCTAATATTTTTTAAACTGTTTCATAATAATTCATAAAATTATAATATAAATGTAGTATTTACCATAAAACTATTAATAATATATTATGTACTTTTTGCAGATGATATTTATACAAATCTGTAAATATTTATGACATAATTGTATCATTTTTGATTTGTCTAATAAAAAATTATAAAAATAACTCTTTACAGAAATACTAAATTTTTTGCAAATCACGAAATATAATATTTATAGTTAATATCATTCAATATAATCTTAATTTGTGCTACCAACTGCAAATTAATGAAAATATGTAAATCCATCTACGGAAATTCAAAATTTTTTCTTTGATAAAATACAGTGCATTTGTCTTGTGGTATTTACTAATTCAATGTTAATGTGTAGATTGAAATGTCAATTATAATTTATAAATAAATTATAAAAGTTAACTGGTCAATGAATGAATCAAATATGTTCACGATCATAAAAAATAACAACTTAGTTAACATTAATTTCTTAAAAATTGAACATATTTATGTTTTCATGCATTACACAGAAAATTAAAATGTTCATATGAGTATGTTATATCCCATCAGTGAACCTAACTATAATATACATGTCTTCAATTGAATAGTTTTAAACTTTTAACTTACCTATCTAATTGATCATGGTGGTAAGGATTACTTGTTTTGATATCTTCTTGGCGACAATGAAAAATGGGCTCAGATGTTAGTAATTCAGCAAATATACAACCAATTGCCCAAATATCTAAATTATATTTAACGAATAAAATGATTAATAGTAATACACTATGACTAATAGAGAATATAATATTGTAATGTCAATAATTATATAGTTAATATAATATTATATTGAAAATATTAGCTATTGGTTTATTTGATATTGATACTGTAAATATTTTAATAAAAATATTCTGTTTCAGAACTTGAAAATAAAAATAATAATTTAACTTTGGTAAAAAAAAGAAAGAAATGTAAGAACTCGTAATAATAAAATGAAGGAATTTATGCAAAAATATAATGTCAATTCAAATTTCAGAGTATATTATTTATACCCTTGTTTTAATTTTAAGAAAATTGTTTGATTTAAAATATAGTTACCTATAGCTTTTGTGTAATGTCTTGCACCTAATAGAAGCTCAGGAGCACGATACCAAAAAGTAACTACAACTGGATCAAGATCAGCAAGTGGTTTTAAGGGGGCGTTGAAAAGTCGAGCAAATCCCATGTCAGCTATTTTTACACGTCCTCTTTCAGGGCCTTCACCCATTACTAAAATATTGGCTGGTTTCTAAAAATTGAAATAATTATTAAAAGTTCTAAAATAAGTTAAAAATATATTTACCAAATCTCTATGTAAAACCCAATTTGAATGTAAATAGTGTATTCCGTCAAGAATTTGAAACAGTAAAGATTTAACCATTCCTTTAGGGACCATTACTGGTTTTTTATTTGCTTTTGCTGCTCTATGAAACTTAATTATATGCTAAAACACAATAGAATGTTAATTAATTTTAATTAAATGTAACTGTTAAAATATTACTGATTATAGTTGATATATTTAAAAAATATAATTTAATAATGTATTAATATCTGTAAAATATTATTTTCCAAAAATACTTTCTATAAAATGTAACATTTTATGTTTATATTGAATAATATGAAAGTCTGTTAATGTATAATATTTTTCAGATATTAAGTTTTTTTATGATTATTTATCTTTAAAATGTTTTCTTACATACCTAAATGAATTTGTATTTTTTGTTATGCATTTACTATATTATTTTTATAAATAATACACTTTCATCTGTGATAAATTTTTTTTATAATTAAAAGTGGTCAAGTGGGGTAAATTAAAATAGGGGCAATTGGAAACGATATTAATTTCTTATCGATGAGTGATAATAACATATTTTATACAACCTAAAAATAAAATAAAATTCTTATATTTGTATTTTAAAATGGACAAACAGTTCTAAATTTTAAAATACTCATAACTTGCTAAAAAAATTAACGAACGCATTATTACAAATGAAATAAAAACAATAAATTATAATTTATAATATTTTCATATTATGAACTATTTTATAATTGTAATGATTCTTACCCAAAGATCGTGTTCTGCATAATCAAAGAGCAGCCAAACTTTTCTATCATTGTGTGACAAGAATACTCTAATTAGATTTATCACATTTGGATGCTTCAATTCGCGTAACAACTAGAATAAAAAAATTGATTGGATCATTTAACTTACAACAGATTATAAAGTAAAAATATAAATACAAACAGCAATTTCACGACAGGCTGACATTGATAATCCAGTACCTTCAATTTGCTTCAAAGCAAAGTCTTTACTGTTGTCCCTAAAAAAGTTAGCATATTCAATAACTTTTTAAGACAATCCGAATAAAAAAATAGCAAGTTACTTTAGAATCCCAAAATACTTCTTCTGGTATGTAGACAATCAATCTAATATTATTTATTTACCTAATATTATATAACTAAAATATTCACATACTATACCTACCATTATACTTGAATATTTTAAAATCAATAGTCAATAATTGAATTACTTTTTATTTTTGAGGCTATACAGATATGTAAATTAAATTTGCAAATAATAATTTATACTGCCATCAGTGATAAGTCAAGTATAGTTAAATGATAAATCACTTAGTAGATATTAAATATTAAAATTATAAATTTAATCGTTGTAACCTAGAATTCAATAACTGTCAATAGACGTTTAAAATAAATAAACAGATACAAACCAAATCATGAACCTCTTGAGTAAAATATATATAGTATTTAATATTAATAATCAAAGAATAATATTTATTGAGGTTCTGCGATGTGGACCTTTCAAAATAGAGAAACTATGTTCTAATCATATAATAGTTTATTCAACATTTACATAATATGTCACGTACCCATCTTTTCTTCTGGCCTTGTAGACATGACCATAGGTACCTCTTCCAACTTTACACCCTTCATACTCAAACAGCTCTTCCACTTTAGCCCTTTCATTGCCCGTTTTAATTTTGAACTCGTAATCCATTGAACTACAATATTTCAATGAACCGAAACACAATGTTTATGTTAAGACACATTCGTAGGACAAATTATTTAGCGGTCCACCTACAACATAAACATTAGGTTGTGTTTAACTACATATTAATATATTATGTTTAAGACATAAAAGTTTAATTAATTATTATTTCCAAAAATTATTTAAACAAACCTACACAGAACTCACATAATTGTTGGTGGCAAGAACGCACTATCGAGTATTGAGTCAATAGTTAGTGGAGCAGTGGAATTTTCGAGGCAGTTTTTAATTCAATTAGAAAACGACCACAGCATCACAATTTACAATTAATAATATTATTTTATAGTTCATAATTCATAAATCATAAGTCTTTTAAATTTGAAGACTTTTAACAACAACGAAACGTAAACAAACATAATGCTGATAACAGGGACCGGATTGGTGTAACCAACGTGACGAACTTAACAATGTCCAGCTTCAAAAGATCGTAAAAAATTAATTTTACTTTCCGGTGGAAATTTTTTTTTTTTTTTTGATAAATGATGTAGTTTAACTTTTGCGGAAATTTGTATGATATAACAAATCTTCGATGAACATTCAGTGAAATTTTCATGTATATACAGTTATTCGTTTTTGAATTACAACAAAATAAGGAAATCGCTACATGAGAAATCGAGTGAATATCCAATGTTGTAAACATTTTAATTTCAAACGCTCATAAAAATTTAGTTTGACTTTCTTAAGGACATATTTTTTTTGATAAAAGTAGACAAACTTATAAGGAATCTTGTATTACATTTTCATACCTCAGATTTAAAAAGAAAAATTTTTATGAATTCTTAACTCAAAATAAGATGATAATTTTCGTGATTTTTCCATATTTTGTCGAGATTTGAACTTTAATTGATTATAAAAAAAAAACTTTGACCAAGGATCTTTAATATTTTACATATGTCAATGTAACAATTTAGTAGGAGCCTTGTATTAAATTTTCAAGTTTTTTTACTCAACAAATAAAGTTTCATTGACATTCATAGAAAAAAAAACTAATAAAATTGAAAACTGAAAATGTCCCTAAACAGTTCAAAATAAATCTAAATATTTTGAATAAATGTTATCGTGTACAGAAAATGCAAATATAAACAACCAGTGAAAAGTTCATGTATCTACGGTCATTTGTTTAAGAGTTGCACCAAAAACCAAAATCCAAAATCGATTTTCTCGGTTTTTGGTGGAACTTTAAAACAAATGACCGTAGATACATGAAACTTTCATTGGTTGTTTATATTTGCATTTTCTATACACGATAAAATTTTCGAAATATTTTGATCTATTTTGAACTGTTTAGGGACATTTTCATTTGCCATTTTTTTTTCTAAAAATATCAGTAAAATTTTATTTGTTGATTAAAAGGCTTGAAAATTTAATAGAAGGCTCCTAGTATATTGTTTCAAAGACAGATGAAAAAAAATTAAAAATCTTTACTCACAGTTTTTTTTTAAAAGCATTTAAAATTCAAAAATTGACAAAATATGGAAAAATCACGAAAATTAGAAAATTATTTTGAGTTAAGAATTCGTAAAAATTTTTCTTTTTAAATCTAAGATTTTAAAATGTAATACAAGATTACTCATAAGTTTGTCTACCTTTATCAATTTAAATTTTTACAACATTGGATATTCACTCGATTTATCATGTATCGATTTCCTTATTTTGTTGTAATTCAAAAACGAATAACTGTAGATAGGTACATGAAATTTTCACTGAATGTTTGTACTAGCATTTCCTATACACCATACAATTTTGAAAATATTTTGACTCTTTTTTAGCTGTTTACAGACATTTACAGTTTTCAATTTTTTAATTTTTTTTTCTATAAATATCAATAAAGTTTTTTCTGTTGGGCCAAAAAGTGTAAAAATGTAATATAAGGCTCCCAATATATTGTTACAATAGCAGTTGAAAAATATTAAAAATACATTGGCACAATTTTTTTTTATAAGCATTTAAAGATCAAATTTTGACAAAATGTATCAAATTTAAAATTGAATAATTATTTTGTAGTTAAAAATGTATACAATGTATAACTTTTATATCTAAGGATTGAAAATTTAAAATAAGATTTCATGTAAGTAGTTAATTCTGTTACCAAAAAATCTAAAGAATACACAAGCACAGTTTATTTTTATAGTCATTTTAAATTCAAATTTGGACGAAATTACATATTAAAAAACCTAGAATAACTATTTTAGTTATTTTGTTGTGGTTGTATAATATTAATTATTCTTGAAACTTATAAAGTGTACTATTATATATCTATGATAGTATCAGGGTTTGTTGTTGATGTATAACGCGTTATAAGTACCTAATGAATATTGTTATTTGATTAATTTGGAATTTATTATAGGTACCTATTATAGGTTAATTTTTTTTTTAATACCATGAAATTGTATATAATATGTCTTATACCTAGACTGACATACCGACTCCGCTCAGAATCGTTTTTCTTATAAAATTATATTATATCATTGAATTCAAATTTAATACCATCCATTATACAGTGATCCACTTGTAACCTACTGTACAGCAGAGCACCTTTTTAACATTTAAAACAACATTTACAATAATCCTGAGGTGTCTTCTAATAATTGTGATAGTATTGTACTATTCTTTCTATGAATCCATGATTAAAGTTTAATATAACTTATAAGTATAATAAAAATAAACAATTAACAAATAGGTACTGAAATACAGATAACTATTAAACATTTCAAATCAATATATTTTTATTTAATACACTCAATTACTAGGTTAGTGTATGAAGGGACATATTATTTATAGGTGCATATAAAATAAGTGAGAAAATATTTTTTAATCTAAAGTTCAACAACATCACTCAATTTGTCAGATTTTCCGTCCAAACATTTTTCAGGATTAGGAAATTCCAATTGAACAGTCACTGGTCCATCATTCACTATTTCAACTTCCATCATTTCCCCGAATGCTCCATCTAAAATGCATTATTATAATTATTATAAAACATACAACATAAATAAATATTAAGACAATAAAAATATTCTGATAGTTTTCCAGTTAGGAAGTTCGATTTCTTTGATTGTAGATAAAGTAGCAAACTAAAAAACATAATATAAGATAATATTATAGACTTGGAATGAATTTATATTTTATTTTCACTATACATCTTTTGTGTTAAAATACATTAAATTAAAACACTCTGGTACAAACTAAAATATTTTAAATTTTATATTTTATGTACCATGTCCACAACATTAAGTTTAAATTAATAAAAAATATAATTAAAATAATACATTTAATTTGATACACTTTTCTTTACCTTTAATTTTGCTAGGGTTGTAATTTGAACGTAAAGTCTCCAAAAAATATTGATAATCTTGCAATGCAAGACTTCCAGGCATAGCCATATGAAAATCTAATTTGTTTCCCTTAAGTTTATAGCAGAGAGTAAACTGACTAATTGACAATATTTCATAACTCATGTCCATTACATTGCAATGCCATTTTTTATCATCTTTATCGAAAAGACGTAGCTTTAATATCTTCTGCACCCTGTAATAATAAATATATTATAATAATTAAATACATTTAAATATTAAATATATAACTAATAAAAATGGTTAGGTTAGGTCAATAAGTAATAACATATATTAAAACAACTTTTAAAATTTAAAGACCATTAAATTTAATAACCATGATATAAAAAAAAATTTTTACAGGTCAATAAATGCTTTAACAAATTAAGAAATATTTTTTTCACAATTTGGGCACTATATAATTGAGTTAAGACGACAATACACGGACATTTGTTGTCTCTGTCTTACAAGTGGGTAACATATCAAATTGTACGCTCAGCAAATCAAATTTAGCTCCGTTAGCTTAAAAATTAGAATGAATTGTTCCTTATAAAATTTAAAGGTAAGATTATTATGTAGGGCACCTCATAGGCTTTTTATTACATTTTAATTTTAAAGCAAGTTATGAGTATTTTAAAATTTAAAATTGTTTGTACATCTTAAAATACTCAGAACTCACCTTCAAATTAAATTATAACAAAAAGCCTATAAGATGCCCTACATAATAATCTTACCTTTAAATTTTATAAGGAGCAATTCACTCTAATTTTTAAACAAACGGAGCTAAACATGATCTGCATGAGCATAAAATTTGGTATGTTACACACTTGTTAGAAGGAGACAAGTAAATGATGTTTGTGTAACGTCCTCTTAAGAATCGCAATGATTAATTTGTTTTTTTTTCACATTGTTGTTAAATATTTCATATTATATAGAAAAACAAAACATAAAGGAAGTTAAGAGGACGTGATACCCGCATGTGTTGTCTCCATCTTACAAGTGCATAACATAGCAAATTTTACTCTCAGCAAAACATTTGTAGCTCGGTTAATTTTAAAATTAGAGTAAATTGATTTCTTATAAAATCTAAAGGTATGATTATTATCTAGACAACCTCATGAGCTTTTTATTATGTTTAAATTTTTAAGCAACTGTGTACTTTAAAATTTACAAACAATTTACAATTTTAAAATACTCATAGTTTGCTTTAAAATTAAAATAAAAATATAATAATATAATAAAAAGCCCATGAGGTTGTCTAGATAATAATCTTACCTTTAGATTTTATAAGGGGTCAATTCACTCTAATTTTTAAACTAACGGAGCTACACTTGTTCTGCTTTGGCCTTTGAGTAGAATTTGCTTTGTTACACACTTGTAAAACGGAGACAACACATGCGGATATCACATCCTCTTAATAATGAGTTATTTCATGCATTAAAAGTATAAATTCAATATTATCTTACATGGCATCAATATCGTTTTTTTTATCAGTTTTCTGCAAACCGACTAACAAACAAAGGCCTTTAGTTATTGAATTTACTTCATGTCCACCAACTACAAAAAAAAACAATTTTGGATATAATTAAAATTTAATATAAATTATTCCAACCACTTACATGTTTTATCTAAAGTTTAGGATTTAAGTAAAAAAAAAAAAAAAAAATTGAGTACTATTATACTAAGTACTATCGAAAAGGTTGATTATTTTCTGCCTGTAAAATTGCTAAAGTTATTGTTCTCTTTTATGACAGAGTATAGTGACTTTGTCAGGGTAAACAAGTTAATAAGGAAATAAGTATTCCTTTACTCGAAACAATATATTTTTAACGTTTGATATGGATACATAACTTTAAAAACAAATTATTATCTAAGTTATCGTAATTTATCATTCATCTTACATACAATTTTAGCACCTAAAAGAAATAAGTAGGTTTAAATAATTTTTATTTTATATTTTTGTCTGTTTATATCTTATCTAAATCAACACGCTTTTTCATAATAGATCGGTGAATATTTTTTATTAGTTAGAAAGTTAGAAAGTTTATGAGCAATCATTTATTTTCTGAATACTTGGAAATTCTATTGATTAAAATATTCTAATACTCTTAGAGTAAACAGTGTCCAATTTAACAATTTGAACAATTGAAATAAAAAATAATCTTTTAGTCAATTAGTACCTAGATCAATATTAGAAAATTATTGTTGATTAATTACAACTCCTCTCCGTCTACCTCTTCAAATCATCATCTGTATGCGGGATTGCTACATTACTGTGGTTAAGTTCATTGCCTGTTAAGGTCACTTGCACTCATACAAAAAATGTCATAAACTTGATAGATGACGTCTTATTTCATATTTTCGATAGCATTTTGTTTGACGATTCCAAAATATTATAGTCAGCAAACTACTGGTTTGATTCATTGGATTATACTTGAAGATGCCTACAAAATTAAAATAATATAATAAGTTGATGAATAAAGTATAATAAAAGCTGTCTGTCTAGCAAACGTATTAAGTTAGAAAATGTCATTTATGAACTTGGTAGGTATATATTAATTATACTTTAATTTTCTTATAACACAGGCTAATATTTAAAATACATTCACCAATATTAATTGATAACTGACAGAAGGAATGTTAAATGAGATGCAACCAAATTTTAACACAATATTATCAAGTGGTAAATCATTAACATAAACACTGAAATATTGTACCTAGTGACTCAATACTTGTTCATTATTTGTATGTTAAAAAAATAACCATCATCAAAATTAATAAATAAATAAATCGTTTTAATGTAATTTAAATTTTTAGCATTTGGTTAGGTAGTGAAATTGTAAGTACCTATCTTGCATAGGAATACTCGTTTTCAACTATTTTGCCTCTGTCCATTTAATTATCTATTATTAAATGAATAACAACAATATTTACCCAGAGAGACAGTTAAAGAACTTATTATTTTTAACTTTAAATTAGATTTTTTATATCTCATTTTATGGTTTTTAGAATGACATTGTAACATATTTTACCAAAAATACTGTAAACATTTACCTGAAATTTTGGCTCTTGAAACACGTTGAACGACTACCTTCATAATGTATGAATGCAAAATAATATTAGTAAAATATAATGGAACTACAAAAGTTTAAAGTTAGAAAAGACTAGAATTTAGACTTTAGAGTAAAGTCATCATTCTGGCCATTGGCATAGAAATTAGAAAACGTTTGAATTTTTGAAAGATAATGATAAGTGATAACATAATAATATGTCGGCTGAAAAGTGATAATGAATAATATTTTAACCACGAACCACGATTAAAGATAATATACAGGTTGCACATCGACTACTGATAAGGTGAAATACGAAATGACCACAGATATATATAATAATAATATATATATATATATATTATATATATCTGTGGAAATGACTACCAATAATTAACCAGTGGCGCTCCAAGCGGCAGTATTACAATTAACCGATTATAGATATATAGGTGTAAAATTAGTTCTAAATGTCGACACATATGATATGGTTGAGTGTTGACATTAAGCGCCACTAGTTAATTATTAACAGCTGATTTTTATAGTCACTTTGTAAATCAGTCTGGAAGCGGTTTACTATAGGGCGATGTGCAACCTGTATATCTTTAATCGTGCCACGAACTAAGATCTTAGTTCGTGATTTTAACCAATCGTGATTTTAACACAGATGTCATATTATCCAACCGACTATCCAACCGTTCCTCACAGTCACCCTTCAAACAAAAAAACGCTAATTGCCAGTTGCCGGGCTTAATAAAAAAAAAAATTTTCAAAGAATTTAATAAAAATTTAAAATTAATCTTGCATATTTCGCATTACTTTCTTGCGTATTTTGACTTTTTAGTGCATGTTTGTATGCATATTTTACAATTTAAAATGCATATAAATCCGATCTTTAGTTATGTAACATATTGCGTGCAGTGACCCATAAGCATAAAACAATATTATGCAAGCCCAGTCACCGAAATACTTCGCGTACCAATTCCACTGAATAGGTAGCCAATAGGTAACGGTGTACATTTGAAATAAGCTTTTGGAATGTATTCATGACAAACAATTATTTGCAGGGGCGGACTGGCTCCTTCAGAGCGGCCCGGGAATTTTTTTTCAAGCGGCCCATCGCCCATAAACCATTGTCTAAGGTCTTTTTTTGTAACATCGATGGCGTTGCCTGCCGGAACTACTTAAGCATTATATTGACATATTGTCTAAGGCCTAATCTAATACACTATTTCAACACTTACGTTTGAAATACCAGATATTTTCTCAGTTGAATATTTAAATTATAATTAATACTAACAGAAGATAAATAAAACATTTTAGAAATTTGATGGACATCAATACCCTATTACCCTATTTGCTATCAATAGGTATATTTCTTTTATATTATTAATCGGTAATCGTCAACCAGTACAGAAGTATATTTTCCTTCTGTGGCGTACAAACACTAAAAAGCTACATAGGTACCATAATTCTTTTTACTTTTTATAGTGTTAAATAAAACCATATTGAATATTTACTATTTATAATGTTTAGTTATCCATAATTTTAAATAAAACACTTAAGAGTAAAAAATATTTGAAATTTTCTATATAAACTTTAAAGTTTTTCTCTTTTTATTACTGAAGAACCTCAATATATAATATAACTCAATAGTAATTTATCATGTAAATAAAATTATATTTTATATTATAGTTATAATATAAAATATATAAATTATAATTGAATAACATAAATAACAAAAGGTAAAGTTAAATTATTATTTGTTAATAATAATCTAAAAATATTACGTTTGGATGCAGAGCCTTGGTTTTTATCAGCATTTTTATTCAAATACTATAGAAAAATATAAAATATGTGGTCTTAGGGAACCGTAACAATATGAATTAAGAATAATTCAACTTAAAAACGACAAAACAACAACACACGGTGGGATTCAAAATTTTATGTTATATTCTATAGATTTAAAATTTACCAAAAACTGATAAACTCTTATTATAATCTAAAAATTGTAATAAGTTACTTGTACAACCAAATTGTCCGGCCCCATAATTCGATTATTCGACCGGCCCATCGGGAAATTTCCCGATCTCCCGATCTGCCAGTCCGCCCCTGATTATTTGTTTTATTATTAATTTTTTATAATATGACCAATTATTGTTGTATATTCTATAAGCTATACTATTACTCCTAATAGGCCATAGTGCTAACTGCATCATGACGATCTTTATACGGCTATTTCCAGAAATCGTAAATCATAACAAACGCAATATGATTATAGGCTGTTTTTATAGGCGACCAGGGAAATATTTACCAATTTGGCATCTCTGTAGGCACTCTAGAAATGTCATCTTTTTTATGATATTGGTGAATAATGTTTTTTTCCTTCAAAAAAATCCATACTACTTAAATGCAGGATATTGTTTCTCCCTCAATATTTAGCAATCCCTTTAAGACGAATTTGCATGCCAAGTTATGAAATTAACATGACACTCCTTTTCCCTATCAAAACCAAAATACAATAAGAGTGCTAGAAACAAGGCTTATCATACCTTTCCTTTTAAAAATTAACATTTTCCAAATTTTTTTGTGAATATTTACGTTAGATAATGTTCCCAAAAAATACCTAGTGCGTGTATAGATAGGTATACTATACTTAAAATAGTTTAAAGAATAGTTTACATATTATTGTATGGAATAAAAGTATTATAGGTATCTATACTTTTAATAATTAAAACTCGAAAAATCTTCCCCCAAAAAATAAAAAATACATAAAAAACCCTCAATATAAAAATATTAATTTTTTTTTCAAAACTAAAAACGCCAATATCGTGAATATGCAGATAGGTAAGTTTTAAAATTTGCACGAAACTTCTTCTCTATTTAAATAAAAATAACATAGGGCGTCGAAAATACGTTTTAAGACGTGAACATTTTCGTCCCTTTCTTAGTTGAAACTAATATTTCCCAAATGGTTTTTTTGTGATTACCTATTTATGTTACAACTCCTTAAAATACCTAGCCTAATTTTAAAACTCAGTCAAAATACAAATCATAATTGGCAGAGGATCAGATGTATACCATCCGAGAATATTAATGACAATTATATTTTATTTTTGATGTGTTAAAATTTATAATTACCTATATACGATAGTCGATATTGGATAAACTTTTTTGGTAATGTTATATATCCTTGTATATCAGTGGCGGATTTAAGGTGGATTTAAGGGTGGCCAGAGGGGCCTGGCCGCCTGGGGCCCCCATCAAGCCCGGATTAAGGGGGGCCAGGGGGGGCCATGGCCCCCGGGCCTCCATTTATTTAGGGGCCTCAGATTTGTCCATTATAGGCTATAACACCGCATAAATCACTTAAAAAAAATCGATGATTATTTAGCGAGGAAAAAATCTTGTGAATTATAATTTATAAATAAAATTATACTTAATTCTTGGTTTATTGCTATGTACCTAATACCTATATATATTTATTATAACAGGTACCTATATATTAATATACATTATTTTTTTTTCGTACAGGGGCCTCATTTAAACTTTGGCCCCTGGGCCTCAAAATGTCTTAATCCGGGCTTGATGCCTACCATACAGAATAAATAATTTGTTAAATTGTTTTTTATAATTTTAGATTGTTTTGTTTGCATTGTTAAATATTATGTTTATTAAAGCAGTGATTTTGATTCTTATTTTAGTGTACGAGGATTGAAGTTCAAATACGAGATTTTAGCCATAGGTACCTGGCAACACAATGTAATTAAATAATATTATTTATAATATTTATTGCGTTGTCAAACTTTACTATCGTAATCCTTATCTAAACGTTATAACTTAGGTATAAGTCTATAACAAGAAAAATATACACGAACACGGTCTATGTTCATAAAATTATTGTGGTGAATAGTTCAATAGTGTATTGTGTTTGACGTTTGTGTATACAAGTTTAATATTTACTGGTTTATACATTTATTGTAAACCGTAAAATCTTAAATCAACTAAAGCCCCCTACACACAATATGATTTGGTCGGGCCGACAGGATAATTTGGTCCGGTCGGACGTCGTATCATTTCGTGTATAGATGTGTCATCTGACCACGATTAAAGATATCTTAAGCCATGCATCTGATTGATCCCATCGGGTCTTGTCATGTGGCCGTTCCATCTGACTGTCCGACCGCCCGACCAAATCATATAGTGTGTAACATTGTCGGGCGGATTTAGACTAGTGGAATTAAAATTCATCTGACCAAGTCGTGCAGAGGTCGTGTCGTCTGTACACAACACCTGATTTGGTCAGGCTACCTGTTGCCCCGGCCAGATCATATTGTGTGTAGGGGGCTTAACATTAGTGTACTAAACTACTAACGTTTATCGAGTACATGTGCTCAACGTCAACATGGGAAAACATAGTGCAAAAGTCCATAAAGTGTTCCGCGAATTGAGTGAAAAAAACATAGTAAAATTATCATTAAAAAATCTTGTAATTATTGCAACTGGACAACCGTCAAAAATGCGACTCGTCAACTTAATCACATTTTGGATTGTAATAAATGCCCAAAAAACATTAAAGACGCATTTCAAACTGATTCAAGTATGTATATTTTTGTATAAACATAGTTTTTTATCTATGGTAATTATGGGGGTAACTATAAAGTAACCGAATATATAATATAAATAATAAATATGAGATATTTAAATATATTAAACAAAATTATATTCTTTAACACTGTCGCATGCCTGCATACCACATTCATATTTATAATTATATACAACATACATAATACATGTATAGTAATTAGTAGAATATATAAAATATATAGTATGATAAATATTGATAAGTTTATAACGCTGTACTAATGTTCAGTGTTCTAAATTCGAATGTAAGAATTCAGTAGGTATACCTACAATCTACATATATAAGATTGTATACCTACTTGTATAATTTAAACATTAAAATATTTAAAAATATTGAATACCATTTTAAATGTGTACTTTCAAAGATTAGGTACCTATACATACAGGTACCATACAGTTATGAAGG